GATTTTTCAATCGAAATAATTAAAAATTATCACAATTTTTAATATAAAAATAAAACAATACGATCGTAAAATTGATAAAATTTTATAAAATTAATATACTTATGAATAAATATAATGAGATTGAAAATAAATTCAATACAAGAATTTTATTGTAAAAAAAAATAATAAATAACAAATGACAATATAAATCGCTTCAAATATCAAATTTTTCATTTTATATTGAAAAAGATTCTTTTTTAATTGATCATAATAGGAAAATACTATGACAAAGAAGACACAATATACTAATATTGTGTTTGAATGTTTTATTTAAACTGTATTTATCATTTAATCATTTAAAAACTAACAAAAAAATATTGTCACTAAATATAAATTGAATATAACAAATTTATAATAAAAAGGAAATAATCTATTGCAGATATAAGTTAATCCTAAATATTTTTTAAGACAAATATAGAAATAAAAATTAAAATTTAAATAGAAATGTTAAACATAAATTATGATAAATGTGAATAAAATTGAATGTTATTTGAACATTTACCAATGCACCAACGCAAATGCATAAAGCAAAAAGAACCACGATAATTTTCATTTTTCTTTTAAATATATCGATTTTAAATGAAAAAGATTCGAAGTATATCTTTTATATATATTCTTGAAATATCTAACGAGAATTGAATAAACATTAAACGTAAATTTCCCTTTTATACTTTAAGTATGAGCTACTTCTTACCTTTAATTTCTCTCTCTCGTTAATCGCAATAAATGATTCTGCATTTTATTTTTTTCCTTTAAAATTATTTATTCAAATACGTATCGGATTATATATTGATTATATAACAATATTTAAAGAATAAACAGGTAGTACTTATTAAAGCAAAATAATTAATTTTCTTAATAAGCTCTCAAAAAGTTAAGAAACGATTAAAGGAATATAAATGTGAGATAATTGATTTAAATGATCGTTTATTTATTTTCTTCTTTTCCTTGTTTTTCAAAATTAATTTTATATAATAGCTTACAAAAATCTTATATAATATAATCTTACAGACAATTATATTAATGAAATATTAATGAGTAATTTTTTTGTTTCTGTTTCAATAAAATAAAATGTAATAAGCATTTGATCGTTGTTTTATTCGTAATACGATATATATGAATATATCGTTTGACTATAAGATATTTAATATATCTATTTTATTTTAACTATTTAGTTTCATAACATTGTTCAACTTGCCGAATGAATGAATAATCTGCCATAACCTATATAACCTCGATTCAAAAATCATCGACGATGGATTGAGTATCAAGGAAAAATCACCAAATTCTAAAAATGTTGAACCTCCAATATATTGCAATTTTTCTTTTTTATCTAAATTCATTCTACGGAACAAATTAATTTATGAAAATTCACCTAATTTTCTTGATTTTGTCTTATAACTCGTAATGATAAATGGCAGAGGAAAAAAAGACAAAAATTTTCTTCTCTTTTTAATAAAAACTATCGTTCGATAGATAGAAACAGAAGATTAAGCAATTATATATAATTGAAAAATTATACATAAACAAGATTTTTTATATTTGTTATATGATTTTTGTCACGTGAAATCTTAATCGATAAATGCTTTATTTTGTTCCACAATTATATGAGAAAACTGAATCTCATTGTACTTGTTTCATGTACGGCGAAATAAAAGATTTCCATCATGTATACATATACACCATCCAAACGTGTTACAAGGTTAAAAAAAAAACGCATTTATAAAAAATTACATAAAAAAAATAATCATTAACAATCATTTTCATATTTAACAACGAAATAAATGAAGATTTCTTGATGATAAAAAATATTGGTTTCTTTGTAATTCACTATAAATCTAGTTTATATGTTTGTTGAATTTAGATGTAAAGAATTTTTGAAAATAATACATGAATATTAGAAGAGAAAAGTATTATGATTTTAAATTGTAAAACAGATATATTTATTGTATTTTGATAAGTGATCAATTTGAAGATATATCAATTTGTTAATATTCTTTAAATATTATTATTATGTCTTAAATATTAATTCTTTAAATATTTTTTTATGATTAAAATAAAAAGTAAATATTTGGATCGTAATTATTATGGATAAATCTTTTTTATTTGATAGTTTAAAGAAATTGCACTATTTCCATCGTTATTTATTATTTCGAAAGACACTGCATTAATTTAATTGCTTTTAAATAAACATTAGCAGAGACTATAATGATAAATATATTTCAATGTAATAAATAATTTAATTAAAATTATAATTTAAAATTATATATATAAATATTATATATATTTATATATTATATATTATATATATAATTAAAATATATAATAGTCATATTATTTCATTCACAGAATAATTTTTTACTTACTAATTTTACAAATAGCTGAATATTCTGGGATTGATTGATTAAAATCATATTCTTCTAAAATTAATCTCATGATTTGTTGTTTTGATTATCTCTTCCTTAAAATTTCCGTTTTTTTTCCCAGTCTGTTGCAAGAATGATATTAATTTTTTTATTTTGTTTCTTATATATTATTTAAATAATTCTTCATATTTAAATAATTTTATTATCTATACTAACCATATTTAACTTTTTCAATATATACTTTTTTACTATACGATTGAATATTATTCTCATCCTCTACATCGAATAACGTCATTTGGTTTTTCTGAAATTCAAATAAAAGAATTAATTAAAAATTTTACTATTTTTAAATTTTTCGTTATTTTTAACTTACCAACTTATTGATCAATACCAGTTTTTGCGCTACAAACTGATTGCTCAGCATATAATTTAGTTTTTAATTCTTCAACCGTTTAAAAAAAAAAGAAATTAAAATATGTTATGAAAATAGATTTATGTATTATATATATATAGGTAAATAAAATATTTAAAAAATGATTATTTATTTATTCAATATATTATGTAATTATTTTTAAAATATTTTATGTATGTGTAACTTCTTTTAAAAATTTTCTATTCATTTTCAAATATTAAAAAAATTTTCTTATTGATAATAGTATTTTTACTACTATAATATACATCATATAATAATCGCAATAATCATATAATAATAAAAACTACGCGAAAAGAATTGATCGATACAAATCTAACTTCTTACTACATTTAATTATTTAAAAATATGTGTATCAGAGAATTTTAAAATAATTATTTAATCGAAATAATTACATATCATTATTATTCCAATCTTTGTTTTCTATTTACTTTAATAAGAAATAAAATAGAACGTAAAGAATACGTGAAATTGATTGTAAAATTAATTATATTTATAAATGAAACGAATATACAAATTCCATGTTAAAATAATATTAATAAATAATTAATAGCAAAATTATATATTATCAATTTATTGAGACATTAAATTTTTCGCAAACTGTGGGAAAGATTTTTTTTCCTCGAACGAATTATTCATAATGGAAAAATATTTTTTTTCTGATGATTAAGATTAATCAAGTTAAAATTGCTAGATAATTAAAATTCTTAATTGCTAATTGATTATTTATTATTTATCATTTTGCAAAATCGAAAGGAATAATAATATTGTTATAAGCAGTGAACAGCCACGGAATATGGAATATTATGGTTAACATCAATGATGGAACAGAAATGACAACATTGGTTGTCATTCGTATTCGAAATATCGATTTAATGAATTCGTTCTCCGGACACGGAGCAGAGCGGTCGTGTTGCTCTCTGCTCCTCGCACGAATATTATATCGCTTATTAAATAAATTAATATTATATCAGTGTCATAAATAAATTAATTATTGTGATTATTGCAAAGAAAACTGTAAATAAGAACAGATTACGTATTATTAAATAAAAATTTTTATTGTAACAAATTTATATTAAAAAGGAAAATAATCTTGATAATCTATCGCAAAGGTACGAGTTGTGACAATTGGAAATATTTTTAAAGATATAATATAGAAATGAAAGATTTAATAGAAAAAATTTAAAGATAGATGATAGATATGATGAATAATTATCAAATACGAATGAAATTAAAAATATTTTAAAATATTTACCAACAACGCAGTAACGCAGCAAAAAGATGTATTAAAGCAAAAAATAAATACAATAATTTTCATTTTCCTTTCTAATACTTCGCAGAAACGAGATTCAAATAATATTTCAATGTATATTCAACAAAAACTAAATATACATTGAATTGCAGGAAATAATTTTAATAATTAAAGTATAATTAACTTATTATCATTTTACTTCTTCTTATATTAATAATTAAATATAATAAAATATAATAATAAATAATTCTCTTTTTTTAAGGAAATTTTAAGGGGAAATCCAAATATTTTCTGAATATTTAAAAAAATAATTTCAATAAAATGTTCAAATCACAATGTAATAATAAGAACAATTTTTTGCAAATCGAAAACTTATTATCTATTACTACTACTTCCATGTTAGAATTTTTCTTTCCATTAATAGCAATAATTCTTTTTTTTTTTTAAGAAAAACTACTAATATCTTTTCATTCATATTATTATGCATCGCTTATATACCTGGATAATATCAAAATAATATTTAAAAAATAGAAGGAAAAATGCGTATTAAAATAACAAAAAAATATCCAAATAATTAATTTTTTTATATCTTGAAACGATTAATAAAAAATAAATATGAATAAAATTGAATTTCGTTTAAATGATCGTTTGACTGTTCTTCCTTTTTTTTTTTTAAGATTACATGTATGGAAAAAAATTATTTTCTTTCCATATTTTTTATTCTCTATAATATATGTAAAAGTCAAAATTCATGTGAATATTGCACATTCATTGGTTTACCAGAAATTTTTTTTAATCCGCTTTCACGTAAGATTTATTTTTGCAATTCAGTTATGCGTTTGATCATCGTTTCAATTCGCGATTTATATGCAATATATGTATATATAAGTTCGATTATAAGATATTCTTCTGATGTATTCAATTTATTTTAATTACTTAATTTCGTAGCATTATCCTTACCACGAATAAATGAATAATCTGCCTCGATTCAAAAATCATCAATGACGGATCAAGGAAAAATCCCTTAAGAATATTGAGACTTCAATGCATGTGTATTACGCGATTTTTTTCTTTTTTTTAAATTCATTTTAAAGGAAAAAAAAAAAATTTACGAAAATTCGGCTAATTTTCGATTTTATCTTATATAACTCCTGAATTATAAAATATGGAGAAAACGACAAAAATTTTCCTCTAATGAAGACTGTCGTTTGATAAAAAATTGAATCGTATATGTGATTAGAAAATTGTTAAAATCGATAATTTCATTAATTATGAAACAGTGTAAAGAAACAAATATTTTTTTTTTATTGCAAATAATATTTTGTTTTATTGTGCATTTTATTTTGTTCCGTAAGACAACATAAGAAAATGAATTTTATTATAGTTACTTTATGTACCGCGCAACAAAAGATTTTTATTATGTACACATATATATATTTATTATCCGAATGTATTATACAATACGAAAAAAAATTATATGAATTTCATTTTTGCATTTAATGACGAAATAAATAAATAATTATTCTTATAAATGAAGATTTT